ATTTCCTTCACTGTTATTAGCCTGAGTATCTGAACTTGATTTCTTTCCTGCAGAGTCAGTATGTTTCTGCTTAATGTGAGCAGTCTGGCCTTTAGTTGGCTGAGATGATATAACCTCACTAGCTGCTACAGCAGTTTTAGAAGTATCACAAACAGATTTGGCGGCTGCCTGTTTGACTTCCTTTTTGACTACTGACTGAGCTGCTGAATCAGCTTCCTCATCTTCAAATGCCCTCTTAACAGGTAAAGAAAAGTTATTGTCATCCCAACTTTTCGCATCCCAGTCCTCATCATCATCTTCTTCTTCCTCCTCTTCAGCCACAACATCTGCTTCTATATCATTAGCAACTTCAGCCTTCTCCTCTACATCCATTGTGCAAACCTCATCCAGCTTCTCTGTTTCAACAGATTCAATATCGCCAACAGCTTCCTGTTTAATCTCTGTATCATCAATAGTTTGAGTCTTCACACCATTAGTTTGTCGGTTTGACTTTGACTTCTTTGTTGTGTAAATAGGGCGCTTTGTTGGAGCGCCATTGTCAGAGACAGGTAGCTTGATTCCAGCAGAAGCAAGAAACTGACTTCTCATTGCATCTCTCCGACGTTCTTCCTTTTGCTTCGCAGTAAGCAGCTGACCAGCCTCCTTCTTCAATCGTTGCTTTTCCCTATCCTTCTCCTTTTTCCTAAGTCTGGCTTCCTCGGCCTGCCTTAAAAGCTCCTCTTGCTTGAGGCGTTCCTCTTCTTCCTTCCTTAACCTTTCCTCCTCTTCTTTCTTTTGCCTTTCTTCGGCCTCCTGACGCCTAGCTAGCTTCTCTTGCATATCCCTGACATGCTTGGGAACTTTCTTGTCCACTGCTTTACTTTTTGTTTCTTTCTCTTGCTCCTCTGCAGGGGCTGCAGCAGCAGCAGCTGCTGCTTTTTTCTCCTTCTCCTTCTCTTTCTTCTTTTTCTTCTTCTTTGCTGCCGCTGATGACTCTGCAATTCCTTCATCTTCACCCTCTTTTTCACCTGTTGCCTCAGTCAACTCAACAGGTTCCAATTGTGTATCAACTTTCTCGGCTTGAGATGATTGCGCTGGAGCTGGGGATGGCTCTGGCTTTGAACCCGATGGCCCTTCACCTAGCTCTGCCAAAATCTTATCCAAATCGTCCTGTTCTTCAGTTGTCCTTCCACCCTTTTTTTTCTTTTTCTTATTCTTTGAAGTTTCAGGCATCGCCACACTGACCTTTTTCTTGAACACGGAATCATCCACTTCTGCATTATTATTAGTGGAGGTATCATCTCCTAAAGAAGCCAATGCATTGCTACCTTTCTTTTTGGATGACTTCTTTTTACCAGTAAATGCAACAATGTCAGCTTCATCGTCAATTACTTCATCCCCTTCACCATCTTCCTCCAACAACACAGCACTGAACAAACTCCCACCCTTCTTAGAACTTTTAGATGATTTCTTCTTCCCTACAAAGCTCACTGCCGGAGCTTCATCCTCCTCACTTAGAACACTCTCATCTTTATCATTCTCCTCATCATCCAACATTGCAAAACTTGGCTTCAAACCACCTTTCTTCGAACCTTTTGATGGCTTCTTCTTCCCTGTAAAGCTCACAGCAGGTACATCCTCCTCCTCACTCTGACTCTTCCCCAAACTACCGTCATCATCATCATTCTAATCCCCTAATAGCTCAAAACTAGCCATACCGCCACCTTTCTTTGAACCCTTTGACGACTTTTTCTTCCCTGCAAAGCTCACAATAGAAACATCCTCATCATCACTCGCATCCTTCCCCTGATCATCATTATCCTCATCCCCTAACAACTCAAAACTCACCTTACCACCACCTTTCTTCGACGACTTCTTCTTCCCAACAAACACTACTTCCGGAACCTCCTCATCTTCCTCATCTCTGTTCTGTACCCCCTTAGAATTTCCCTTCTTTCCCTTCTTCTTCTTCCCACCAGCAGTAGGAACTACCTTCTCCTCCGTAACCTGGGACTCCTCAGACACCTCAGTCCCAAGTGAATACTCATCATCATCTATCACTATATTCTTTTTCTTCCCCATTTATAATCCTCCCGATTAAAACAACTCTGCAAAAATCCACATAAACCTTAGAAATCAAATCTTTAATCAAACAAAACCCCTTAAATTGATTCTATCCACAACAATCACAATCCAAAAACAAAAAAATAAACAACAATATCAACTAACACGAACTTAAAATCAAACAATCAATCAAGAATCATAGAAACCACAATGTAAAATCTACTGCTACGAAATCAGAAACTTACGAATTCAAAGAAGTGGAGTAAAAACTTACGATTAAAAAAATTTCCAAAAGTGTGCCCTAAATTGCGAAATTTCTCTCTGATTTTGCTTTCTCCCTTCGATTTTTATAATCGTGTAAAACGTCAAAATTAGGTTTGAGAAATTGAGGTTTGCAACAATGGCTGCTGAAGAGAGAGAATCTGGAAAATATTAAGGAGTTATTTTTGGTTTCTACCGGAGGCACTGAAATATGATAAAATAAGGTCGGTTTTTTTCTCAACATGCCTTAAATAATTATACCAAGGAATGCTCTTAATAATACTAGTAATCAAGCAAAAGATAGAATTTGATCTCGGAGAATTCTAAACAACTACGGTAATTGACATCTAATTATTATGACCCTTTTATAGCGGTGTTGTTTAAACCGTGTGAGGTGGCAGTTATCGCTTTTAATAGGTCAAAAATCCTAATTGAAAAAAATAGGAGTGTTTTGGTTGTATAACGGTTTTTTAGAGGTTATTGCCATAATTGGAAAATTATAGAGTGCTCGGCAAGGTTTCTTCAAAAAAAAAAAAAAAAAAAGTGATCGGCAAGGTAACCATTTTAAATAGGTCAAAAATTCAAACCAAAAAAAATATATTTCTATTTTATTTTAAAATTAAAAATTTCACTCGCCACGTAACGAATGAGATTTTAGATCTAAAAACAACAAATAGTATTTTTTAAGATTAATTTTTTTTAAAATCTATCTTTTTTTTAAAATATATAAAAATATATATATTATGATCATCTTTAAATTTAAATAATTAAAAAAATAGTGAATAAATTATATTTTGATATTACAATTTAAATTATTAAATAAATATCAATAAAAAAAATTAACATTATTTAAATTTAAATGTTATCTACTTTTTTTTAATAGCAAAAATATTTCATTAACTAAAAGTCATACGACATCTACAATAGAGATTCGACGTTAACAAATACATAAGATATTGAATCAAATAGAATTTTCCTTCATAAAAACTACGATCGTCGAGTAGATCTTGCACTGCGGAGCATCTCCCGCTTATATCGATGAAAATTACAGCCTTGTTGGAGAGACAATCTAACGATCCTTTGTAAGCGTGAGGATGTTTTGCTTCTGATTCATCTATTCGTATTCGAAAACTTGATAACTTTTTCACCAATGAAATAATTGCACGACAATCCATTAGATCTGCTACCATTGATTCAAAACTAAGAAATTTCTCCCTCGAAAAGAGGAGATAAACCTTGTCTTTCGAAGGAGGTCGAAAAACCCTTATCTTTCTAAGGAGATCGGAAACCCTTTCTTTCGAGGGAGAAAAGTTCCTCCCAAAAGGAGAAAACATTATTATAAACCTAAAAAAACAATAAAGAAACAAGGATTGGGGCTTTCCACCGATTAAAATCGATGGAAGCCCCTTCAAAATTCAACAATGGAGGCTAGGGTTTTGGAGAGAGGAAGGAGGAGTAAAGAAAGGATTTGTAAATGTTATCTACCTAAGAAATTGAAAAATAATAAACATAAATGTTCAAGTTAAAAATTGTCTTAAAAAAAATTCAATTTTTATTTTTATTTTTATTTATTTTTATTTTTATTTTTATTTTTTTTTGAGGAAAAAAGTTCAATTAACATATACGTAGTATGAAAAGTGATAAAATACAGTACATGATAGAATATAAAACATTAAAAATAAACTAATAAAAAAAATACACTATAATTAAAAATAAGAAATTAAGTTTTTATATTTTTTTTTTTGAGGGAAGAAATTATGTTAATTTTATAACTTGAGTAAGCCACCTAAATCACCAATTTTGTTTTTGTTAATAAAAAAATTAAAAAAAATGTTCAATTTTTTTTTAAGATAATGTTCAATCGAAAAACCATACTCCATATTAAAAGAAAAAATAAAGTTATTTATACATATTCAATTTCCTTCCCAAAAATAAATATTAATGTTCAATTTTTTATCTTATCTAGCAATCCACATGATAAGGCATTACATGTAAATAGTAAATTTCATAATCTCATATTATTGTGAATAGATAAAAAAAAAAATAATAATAATAATTAAATAGAATTATAAGAGATTTATATACTACTCCACATTTACCAAGCACAACCAATCAACCACATCAAATTCCTTAAAACTATAATACTAATTATTATTTTTTTCAGCTCTAATTTGTTGGTCAACAAATATATTGGAAAATAAATGTAAGTATATCAAGGTTTTAATGGTAAATAAAATAAATTGATTTTTATTCATTTTTTAAGGATTCGTTTGACATCACTATGATTTTCTGTATAATTACCTTTTAAACTTTATAACCGGTTCTTCAACTAAATTGACAAGATTGTCATTGCTTATTTTGCCTAACAAGGCCTAATCACTCTAGGTGTGGATAGTGTATTACCAAAGTGCAACATCAATTACTAGCTTAAGTCACAACAAACCGAGTTTGACCTATCACAAATTCACAATTACATAGATATTAAGGTTTATATTATTTTTATATATTTATGTTGTAAAATTGCATTTTGTACTCATTATATTTTCCTAAACAAACGTGCAGCATTTATGTGTAGTATTTATAATCTATTGAAATATACTCCATATGCATTCAATCAATGCCGAATTTAACATCCTAAGATACATCCAACTTTGCTAAATTGAGCTAAGCTTGATAATATAAGTTAAAGAAAAATATGTGCAAAAATCCAGCCAACCATTACATTGAGTAATCATTGAACTATAGACCCCTTCAAATCTTTGCCCTAGATGTTCAACAAATACTGAGTACTCGTTTTTGGGCAACTTCAATCAATCCCATACAATACTACAAAGTGAAACATTTTGAACCAAAAATGACAAGAATCCAAGTTGGAGTCAGAATTGACCTGAGTTTTCCAAATTCTTCAGTCACTTTACATAAAACTTAGATCCATAATTAACTATCTCATTTGTATCGAAATTCAAAATTTGCTATAAATATAACAAAGTATGATCGAATCAGAGCTATGACCAATGTGCTAGTCTATTTCTATTCTATTTACAGATAACAACTACAAACTCTTGAGACTTTCTACCTGAAGCGTCAGATCCTTAACCCCAGCATCCTGAAGTGTGTGCATGACATGAGCTTTTGTTGCAGCTTTGTCAATTTCTGAAGAAACGCGAAGATGTAAAGTGCCAATGACATCTGTGTTAGTCAAGCTCCAGACATGCAGATTCTGGATGCCTGAAACCCCTTTAATCTTCATAACATCATTTACAGCAGCTTTAAGATCCTGTTCGTGAGCTCGAGGAACCCTCTGCAACAAAATTTCAGCAGAGTTCCTCAATAATGGTATTACAGATGATACAATTAAGACGGATATGAATATGGAGCAAGCTGGATCTGCAACAAGCCATCCCTTGTATTTGATTAACAGGGTTGAGATCACAACTCCAACACTCCCCAGAGTGTCTGCCAGAACATGTAAGAAGATGCCTTCCATGTTGTGGTCGATATGTTGGTGATGGTGCTTCTTATTTTGGGAGGAATCAGTCTTTAAGTCTAGATGATGACTATGACTGCATGAGTCCGCTCCAGGAAGCTTGGTGATGCTCTTGCATACATCATTATCATCGTGATGAGGGTGGATATGATGACCCTGTTCATGATGTAGATCATGGTGTCCACAAGAGTGGTCATGACTATGACTGTGGTCATGGTGTGCATGACTGTGATCATGGTCATGGTGTGCATGACTGTGATCATGGTCATGGTGTGCATGACTGTGATCATGGTCATGGTGTTCATGATGATCATGATCGTGTTGTGCATGACTATGATCATGGTCATGGTGTGCATGACCATGGCAATGAGTGTGATCATTGTGTCCATGAGAGTGAATATGGAGGCCATGACTATGACTGTGATCATGGTCCTCATGAGAGAGAACATGGTCATGCTGATGCCTAACCTCAGTAACATGGTCATGGTCAAGTTGGATATGACTCGTATGAGAGTGGGAGTGGGAGTGGGAGTGTGAATGAGAGCAAGACCCTCCATGGGCATGATGATGCTCCTCGTGAAAGAAGATTAAACCAACAACATTAACAAGTAGCCCTCCAACAGAAACAACCAGTAAACTATTAGTTGAAATCTCTTGAGGATCCAGAATTCTTTCCAATGATTCCAACACTATGAGAGCTCCAACCAAAACCAAAAGTACTGCATTAACATACCCTGAAAGTACCTCAAACCTACCACGGCCATAGTTAAACTGGCTATTGGCTGGCAAACGAGAGATATAACTAGCATAAAGCCCAATAGCCAGTGCAGCACAATCAAACAACATATGACAAGCATCAGATATCAATCCAAGACTATTGCTCATGAAGCCAGCAACAAATTCTACCACCATATAGCCAGTGTTGATCATAAGGAAAAGTGCAATTTTGCGAGATTTACGTTCACTCAATACGTGGCGAATGGGCCTCATTACCATTGAAGAGAATGTTTCTGAAGATTCAGCTCCCAATTCCACATATCTAGCATGGTTCCAGTTCAACTGCTGAATGGCTACCCAAAGCAATGATCCACAGATCAACAATCCCCAAAGTGAGAGCTCTGGAAAGTAAACAAGCTCCAAAACAAGTGTACTCACAAAGTTGATGAAAAATTCCTTTTCAGAGTCTCTAGGATTCACCCACTTCTCATCATTATTCCACTCATTCAAGAGGACACCAAACAAAACTGTGTTTGCCAGCAACCAACCCAGATTCACAACAGAAACAGTTCCACCCTCTGCTTCAAAAACCAGCATATTAATGATGGCAGGAAAAAAAAGCATCGAAGTGGTGAAGAACAACGAAATCAATTGAACCCGCTTTCGACCCAACTGCCTAATAGGACCCCAGTTCATCAAATCCCTCTCATAACACCCCAAAAACCCAGATAAGAAAGGGAGTAGCATAGGCACAATTCTCAGACAATTACCACCAACAACCACCATAAATGAACTTCGAATTTTATCAAGATTACTATAAGAAAGAGGGAAACAATCCATCCGATCCCAACTGACAGATAAAAGGAATAGACCAGTAAATAAGGCAAAGAATCCACGAACCCATGAGTGTCTATCTCGATCCCAGTCCTGAACCTTCCAGAATCGGAAGGCAATATTTCCAGACAATTCAGCCAATATCAGGGCTGCAGTCCCACAATAACGGAGGGCTTGGAATCGGAGGAGGAAGACAATAGCCAAGATAAGGGACTTGAAGAGAAGATGCCTAACTTGGGATTGGGAAAGGGAGGAGAGAGAAAAAAGTGGAATGCGAGGGTGTTTGGAGTAGAGGGAGAAGATGAGAGTGAGGAGGAAGGAGAGCAGAGAGACAAGGAAGGAGAATGGGAATAGAGAGAACGAAGGGGATGAGCGGAGGAAAGGAAGGAGGGGATAGAGAGATCGTAGGGAGAAAAGGACCAGAAATAGGGATGAGATTGAAGATTTGTTGCTAATGCCACTGGTAGATTGAGACAGTCGGGTTTTAGACGGAGTGGGAGTCGGGGTTAAAGGATAGGGAGTAGGGTTGCGCACGCCTGTGAGCGCAGCAGGACGTGACGGGACTGATAGGCGGTGTGGCCGGTGATGATGATGGTGGCTGTCTGCCATCTTTGTAATTTATAAGTGATCTTCAGGAGAAAAAAAATATAACAGCTATAAAGTGGCTTAGCCGTCAAAGGTCTCCCTGTCGTTGGTGCATCATTTTCAGAATGTACAACAGCACCTAGCAAGCAAAAAACATGCAATCATTATATGCATATTTTTAACATAGATTGTCTTCAAATTCACAAACTGTCAAATGTTAATCTATCTTGACAAAACATATTCATGTGAAAGATTTTATACTGCATACTTCAATTAGTACTGATCCTACATTCCCTATAAAAAGTATTCTTTTCCCTTTCCCTTCATAACCCCCCACTCTCCCACCATGGCCTGAAAGCTGCCTCCCCTAGTCCCCAATTTTTACCGCAACCCACCTGGACCCATTCCGGCATCACTCTTCTTTCTGTTGGAAATATTAAAGGTCAATCGAATCATCTTCAAAAGCCCATTTTTACATAATGCACATCTGAGAGAACAAGGGGGAAAAAAAATAATAACTTTGTACCTTATTAGAAAGGATGATCAGATTTCATCCAGTTAGTTGATGCATATAAACCACTACTATTTAGTGAGCCAAATGAAGTTCAAAGATCAATTTCCACTGACTTTTCTCTCATTCTATAAATTGAGATTCTCGCTGTAATACCTACCAATCCGCATGATAAACACGATGAATCTATTGCAATCATCAAAGAGCTGCAATATGTTCTACCACAAAAAAATTCAAGGACATTGATATTTCACACCTTATAAACATTTTAAATGTTGGAAGCATTACTTTCAACACAACTGTGCCACTTACCTCTCTTTCCTTCCTCCCCGGCCCTAACCAAACCACCACATTCGTCTATTTCCTGCTTATCCCCTCTTCTCTTAAACTTCATACCACCATTTGGAAATTCAATAAGGCAATTGAAAAATTGACGGCAAAAAAAGACAAACTTGCAAAGATTGAAGATGTGTCTATTATCTGTATAATCTCATTCTCTCTGCCTAAACTCTAAAGCAAGTTCAAAGAAACCTCAATTAAATGTAAAAATCACTGCTTGGGTACAAACATGAACAAGAATAGTTCTACAAAAAGAAGAAAATCAAAACCCTAATTAAAATAAGCTGGAAATTTCAACATCCATCAAAACAAAACCAAATTTCAATCTATTGAACAACATAAAATTTACAATAACAAATGAAAGTGCAATCCCAGAAAATTAATCATTTGCTCAATAATCAATAACATATAAAAAGAACCCATAAAAATTACAATTAAAAAAGCCCAGAAATTGAAACATATTGCTAGTTTGGGTACATACATGAACAAGATCGTAAAAATCCCAATTTAATACCCATTACCAATACCTCATTAAATGAATTTTTTTAAAAGAAATTCATTGATTCAAACCTCAAATTATGCAAATGCAACGATAAATCGGTAATATACCTGAGATTTCGACGGTTTCTGAGCTGGTATTGGTGATTTGAAAGCGCAGGGAAATCTAGTGAGAAGCGCAAAAGTTGGAACAAAATTGGAGTACGGTGTATATGGTGTATACTTGTATGTTAGTATGTAGTTGTTGAGTGTTGACGGACTTGAAATTAGAGATCAGGCAGCTTGGAGTAATTAGGGTGGGGAGGGATGAAAATTTGATTTACATTAATGCGCTAAAGCCAAAAGTCGAATGGTGTATCGGATCCCGCTCGAATTATCTTATTCATAAACTCGATCAGTCGATCTAAAATATTGCTAAAAGTGATTATTCATTTAGATAAACCATAACATATACTACGTACAATCTTATGAGAACAATTATTAATTAGTGTCCGCGAAGATGAGGTATCACCCTTGTTCATTAGATGCGTTTTTACTTTGTATTGGTGATTAATCTCCATGCACGTATGATGTATCACCCTTGATGCATTTAAGCTACTATATTCACTATAAGTGCATTTTACTAGTACAACTAAGCGTATTAGTGCAGAAATTCATAGATAAGCAGCAGTATGACATTGGCATGTTGCTCTTTGCTCTTGTTCTCGTGCCTCTAGGTCTTGTGACAAGGCCATAGAGAATATGGCGATGATTTTGCTATACTTGCAGACTTGCAGTTTGTGGATTCAGTCAATATCACATTCAGTGAGGTATTGCTCCCCAAGGCCGAAGAGATGAATCGTGCTTAGCTTTCATTAGGATGTTTGATTCAAGTCAAGAGTTTAATTAGGAATTCAATAATTTGCATCAACAACCTCGCTCTCCTTTCTTGATTGAAGGATTAGATGTGCTTTTTCACGTTTGTACTTATCTGAGCTCGATCACCTGCAGTAGAACTGTAAAAGTTAGGATTAAGGTGATACGAGATTCAGGCATTGTGACTGCTCAGAGGTTTCCAAAGGCATATGAGGTTCAGGCATGGTGACTCGTGTTTCATGAATATCGTTACTATGACAAATATTCCTGTAAAACAGGCAAACTGATTCAAAACTTTTATGATACCCCTGAATCACGTCGAATCTTTAGTGGCAAGTTGTTTATGCTTGCATCTGTGTCTGTGTTGTGCTTCTCAACTGTAAACTTGCAATAGGTAGGAAAAGTATTACTGCAAGTCCATAAGCAGCTGAATTTGCAGAGTGCCACTAATTAAATAGAAAACTATGCAGCACTTTGGTAAATATAAGAAATCATATTCAACATTTTTTAATTTTACATCTGTAGAATTTATCAGCCAAACCAATTGAAGATATTGCACAAGTAAAAATTGATCTACAATGCACTAAATCAGTAATTGATGATTGACACAAATTTGAAGTATACAAGAAAATTATTCAGAGATTTCTCCCTATCCTGTTGTAGTACATATTGTATGAAACGGAGTCCTGTAAGGCTGTAACAATGTGCTACAATCTAATCAGAGAAGGCGTATTTCCTTCATACATTACTTTCTTTATGACACCTGCTCGGCTCCTCTATTTAGTCTCAAGCATCGTCTGTCTTGTCTGATTGACGAGTTATATACTTTAAGTAAAGTAATTGACTGTCCTACTGGATTCAGGTGCTTCAACAGACCAAATCTTTTCCTACAGATCCTGTTCTGCTCCAAATGATTTGGTCCTACAGACCATACATACAAGTATACAACAGGTGATCTCCTAAAATGGATTGAATATTTTGAACTTCAGATCAACTTAATCAAGAGAAAACGGAGGTACAAGACTCTCCACGTAATCAATAGCAACAAATACAGATCCACGGCAAACCATGACACATGAAGGTGGATCGCAACTTGGATCAATGAGTTTAAGTCCATTTTTTTCTCGAATGCAAAAATTGCCATTGTATGTGAAACCTAAAAATCCGATGTAGTTCCTGGCCATCTCCTTCTTCAAGTCAATTCTATACAACTTCTTCCAAGAATCCCATTTGTTATATTCCTCCAACATCCATAACTCGAACATCCACTCCTCTTCCTCAGAGTGATGTACCAACGTAGCACATAAACAATTCTTTTCTCCAATGACACCAAGCTTAATCTGATGGGGTTTCGGAAGATCAGGCTTGATCAACAAGGGCACCTTTTCAAAAGTTTCCGTAACCAAATCAAACTTATGTATACATTTCTGACCAAGACAATGCAAAGCTTCATTCAAGAAAACCGAGTTAGAAACTGATGCAAACGACGATCCTGCATCAGTAACATCCAATTCTCTCCATTTAGGATCACGTAACGAGTACATATACATCCGCTTCACAAAACCCGGCTTATCCCCAATACTTGTATTCACTAATATGATCTTATAGTCTTTTAAAGACGGTACATAACCGAACCAAGCAGATCCAACATGAAGATAAGTTAAACCCTTAACCCCAAACAATGAAATTTGTTTGTCTTCATTAGTAACAGGGTTCCAAAGATGCAACAAATCTTCACCAAACTTAACCTTACTTTTAATGTAAAGACACAAGATCCCATTACATGATCCAACAATAAAACATCGACCCCAATCAAAAACATCAACAAATTGTCGGTCCAATGCAATATCAGTACAGCTTTTATACTTAAACAAGGATATTACATTGTTTTCTTGTAAAGTTAGGATTAATGGTGGATTATTAGTAGGGGTAAGATTTGAAAATTGGAGATGTAATTTGGCAAATTCAGGGTTTGAAATCAGGGAAAATCAAGATTTGCAAACTGATTTGAATCTTCCTAATGATTTTAAGGGCAGTCGAAGTAAGATTTCATGGATTAAATCATCGGATAACTCGATTGTCAATGGGGTTTTTACATATTTGGTGGGTTTCATTTCGATAACTGTTTCGGGATGTCAATGAGGCGAGGCGGATATACTACTAACAGATAAATAGTTCAGTAAAGTTGGTACATAAGATTACAAATGGGCAGTGATATAGATATACCTGAAGAGTTAGCAGAAATTGAATCCTGGAAGATTGGGGCTTCTGAGATTGTGGCTGAAACTCGGTGAGCAGTTTTGTGAATGTTGACTGTTGAGGAAGAGATCAAGAGATGTGGAAGAGAAAAATGGCGGCTCTTTTGTGGAGGTCCTCCAAGTATACATTCGGTATAAAATAATGAAGGTGGGCATGGGCTGTACATATAGGCCCATTTGTTGTGTCAGCGTCTCTCTTTTTTTTTAGTGGGTTGTGATTCAAATGGTTTAAGAATTAGTCGTGTCATAATTAAGCTCTTGCCGACCTTACATATATGGAGCTTACGCATGATGATACAGAGTATTTTGTTTTTTTTGTTTTGTTTTGTTGTTTTTTTATTAGTCAAAATAAACGAGCTAAAAAGCAAGTTAACACGTACTTTTATATTATTTTTACTTTTTGAAAGACACGTACTTCTATATCTTTGATATCAAGTTAGGCTTTAACAGATTCATGCCAGGTCGAGCCATTTTCATGTCGTGCCTAATAAATCCTTGTTTTAGCCTAACCCATAAGAAACTTATTATTTGGTCTTAAGATCCCATAAGAAAACCTAAACTTTGACTTAAGTTTAGTGGAGCTTTCAAGGAGGGCCAATGTTTAAAATTAATGGTAAGTATTACTTCATGTATATATTTAAGATTTATTATTGTTGATTCAATCAATCAATGTTATACTTACTATGTTGTAAACTTGTAATCAATCCCTTGAAAGCGGGAGGAAAGCTCTAACCAAGCTGTCCCTCACTCTCAACTTATGTGATCTCTAATTGTGATAAAACGTATTCATACCTTTGTCAATGTAAAGTGTAATGTAACAATTTTGCTCCTATGCAATTTTGAGATTGATGCTAGCTGTTTCTTTGTCAATTCAAAACGTAAAGTATCAGTGTTGTGAAAATAATTGTGAGTACTTTCTTTTAAAGGAAATTGTGAATACTAATTTAGGTTAAAGAAAGGGCTAAGAAAGCTGGGGGGGGGAATAATGTCCTATAAATCTATTACGAGTTCAAAACGAGGAATAAAATTATACAAATATAAATTACAAATCAAATATAACTTTTAAAAAATGGCAATTGCTACAAGTCTGTCAGAAAGTCATCCCTGCAAATATAGCTCTACCTTGTTGAATAATACTTGGATTAGTAACTGTTTTTTCCACAAAAAAGTAACTGTATATAAGGGCTAATTTAACCCCTTTCACCTATATACTCCTATACTAACTAAATAATCACATTGCCTCGACTATTCATAATCTAAAACTCGTTATAATTTCAAAATAACTCTAGATAATGACTCCATCCCAATTAGGCTTTGTTCTCTTCAAATCAGTAAAAAATTATCAATTGAAATCAATTTTGATTCATACAAAAACAATTTTAAATTAGCATGTCAAATCTAATCAGTAACTTTGTATATCTAAAAACACTAGTGAATTTTTAAAAATCATATAGTTTCAATAAGAAAAATCAATTTTAATCAGAGAAAATACTTTCTTCAGTAAAAATGAAGTGAAGAGAACAAGGCCAACCCAGTCTCACTCTCATGGAATGGAGAAAACCAAGAGAAACTGAAGGGGAACTTCAACTCTAAAGGCATGGAAAAAGAGTAAGAAGACTTATGAGCTGAGCAATCCTAGTTTCCAGGTACAGTGTTAGTGTGTTACTCATAGCTCTTCCACTACGAGCTCATGAACTTCTTCACTGTCTCCAGTTGGCTGCCATTGAAAGAATAAAAATCGTCAGGCATTCAGCAGCATGTAACCATAATTATATAAAAAATGTGCCTGTGCTATGACCAACACACACAAACCAGATAAATTAATATGACTGAGACCTAAGTGAACCTTGCTAACACAGAAGCCCCACTCATTCATCATAATAGTCTTCATAAATTGGCCTTTTTTGGAAGGTAAGTAATTTAAGTCTTGTTTTTCCAGATTTAATATAGGCCATGTTTAAGAAATTTGGCAAAAACCACTTTAATAAAACCTCAAACAAAGGCAATAATCTTGCAAAAATATATACTCTACTACAGACATAACTACAAAAATTATGTAGGCACCATTGGTAACTCAGACAAAAAATAGGCAGATGAACAAAATTAGAAAATATAAATAGATACCCCCTGGGTCTGGACACTCTGGAATAAACTAGTATCATCATCCCATCTCCATTAAATAAAAGTTCGCCAAGAATTCATTAAAATACTTTGTACCCTTTATAGTTGCCTGTTTGCCATCATCCCATCTGTTTCTTTTTAAAAAAAATTGTGAACATATATCCAGAAATTACAGAATACTACACAGTATACATGACAAATTCTTGTGGAATGAAATATAAAGAACCCATTGTAAAAGCCTCAGAAGTGAACTGTACCTATTGGGAAATGAAGGCATGACTTCACAAACTGCTTGAACAATGATTGAACTACTCCCATCACGGTCATTTGAGCCAACAGCTGGTTTTAGAAAACAAGAGCACAAGTCAACTAAAATAAAAACTGAGTGAATGTAATTTAAACATTTAGACATTAACAAGAAAGAAAATTGTATACATTATTTTACTTGCAATAGTTGCAAAGCTCTAACACATAAAAAAGGAGGATGGTAGACAATTTAATTTACTAAGCTCACAATCACATGGAAATACAATGACAGCAAAAGTTTTATAACATCAGAAATTGATACCAACTTGTATCATTAGAATAAGCCCAGTGAAATAAAAAAAAAAAAAAAAAAAAAATCCCCATGCAAGACTCCGCCTTTACAAATAATCAATTGTAACTTCCATTTTGATCAATCACAAAGAGCAAGTACAAAAGCAGATTCATTAGGTTCTGAGCTTCTAGCTACACCACTCTCAGCAGAAATAAGTGTACAGATGCTATTGAGACTGGACAGCTCCTAACACTCAAATATTCACCGTGCACTATGTGACAGGAGTCCATTTCCTATGTTTAACTTTAGCCATCAATATTACTTCTAACTGGACGAAGAATATGTAATCGAGGTTATACAATTCAACAGACTTTGCTTTACACATGCACAAAAACAAAGCAATCCCTAAACTCTGCAATCAGCACCATAATTTATCAATGCTTAAGCAAATTAAGTCTGTGCTCCGACAACAATACTCCTTTTGGAAGGAAAAGGCATTGCTGAAAGAAGAAGAAGCAGAAAAGCTGCTGGGGAGTTGGAGGAAAAGCCTCAGTTATAAGGAGAAATGAACAAAAAAGGACTGCAGTAGCAGGAAATCACAGCATATATGTTCATAATTTCTAGTTGTAGGCTTGTATATGTTGTAAAAGAAATACCTTGACTTTGTTCTGACATTGTATACTCGCCTCTAAGATATGTTTCATCCTCCCAATTCAAACCCAATGCCTCCATCTGTCCAAAGTCTGCCAAAATATGTCCAATAAGCTGGTATGCGACTAAACTTGCCTGGTCACAAACTTCTTGAATGGCTACATAACGGTTTTTCTGGTCTTCAGGCACTGGATTTTTCTTTGAGCATTTACCAGCAAGATTCACAGAATCCACTGAAGCATAATGTGGAGGGTCCTTTTTCCCCGTAATATTACTTTTCCCATGTAAGATAGGTGAAAAAATAGGGGATACAACATCACCACCAGCATTAGAGTGCATTTCACCTTCATTAATCTCTGTCTGATCCCAGCATTCATCTTTAACAGTAAAGCTTTCAGCCTTAATACATGACCTGGAAGCAGAATTATCTTTGTATGTAGATGTTGCGGAACTAAAAGTGCAATGATATGCATCTCCGGTACTAGCAACCTCTTCACTGAAGTCATTAAACCTAATCTGAATTTCATCCAAGGAATTTGGATGAAGCTGCTGGTCATCATCATCAAAAATATCTCCATCGTCACTTTCTTCAAGTTCCTCCATGTATGCATCCGCAAAATCTTGGTCAAGTCTATCAACAGGAGCACAATTCCACAAAAGCTGCTTTATATGAGCACCCACATTCAATATACATTCCACCTCATCCTCAATAACCACCTTTGAAGAAAACCTACATGTATTACATGACTTCTTATTAATAAGAGACAGAGCATCTAATAAAGAGTTTGGAACTGCTTCCATATCACTGCATTCAAAGAGACAGTCAATCAACATGTTCCTAATTGCTTTTCTTAGGCCATTAACGTCCACATTAGATTCGGGGTCCAATAGAAGCTGCAATTTCTTCAATTCTTCTTTCTTGTATCTCTTATCAAGAGAACAAATAGCCTTTACTATCTCATTCTGTAATGCTTCCATTTCTGGCGGCACATGTATAAATTTGACCATGGAAAAATCTTGATAGTCAGATGCAATTCTTGAATATAAACCAGGAACTGCCATTGCTTTGACTAAAGGGTCCTGTAGCTTATCTGTCTCATCAAGTTGATCAATCATCCTACGCCACAATTTCTCCATTTGCTCGATCAAACTTTTTCTGTTCCATCCAGACCAACGAGGGCGCAATTGCGGCATGACCCCTTGTGTCCCTTTCAACCTCCTATACATTGCAGACAGGATCCGTACAGGAATATTTTGAAGCTGAACCTTCTCAAAAGTACTAATAAGAGACTTCCTAGTCAATTTTATGTGTCTCCTACGATTCTGGCGAAAATTCTTTGGGTTCTTCAGCAACTGAGATAGCTGATTCTGCATTTGGACTTGATTACAGCTATCTAACCGATTGCTATGTAATTCTTGTAAGCTGTATTTAATAACTCTTTCCATTTGTGGACGAGTTTTATTAAAAACAGCTGAACCTCTTGTCACTATCTTGGCTAGACGGCACAGCCCATTGTTTGACAAATCATCAAGCATGGTCAAAATAATTCTTGACATGTTGCGTGCCTCACAGAATTCCTCCTCATCAATTATACTCTGCCACTCTTCAGTATCAGATGTTTGACGACAGCCCCTCTCAACAAAAATTTTGACATCTTCATAGAAGACCTTCAATTGTTAAACAATGAAACCCATTTAAATGAAATGCTACCATAACCAATCAAACCAAACACCCATGGGTGCCTCATAGTGGAATAATCAACCAAATATCAGTCACTATATAAATTCATAATGTGTTCATTAAATTTTAAAGGGCTGGGCCTGTTATTGGATTATCGCTACATACAAAGCATATATCTATCCACAACAACAACCAAAAAAACCAAAATGGTTTAATACTAAAATAATTTGGAGTACACTACATGTCTGCATATTGTTGTCAAAGACTCAAAGGTCAATTTCATAGAGTTTGAAGAGCTAGCAAACTTTAACAATGAAATCGACTCTACCACAATATTTCTACGTAATAAAAAAAAAATTATTATTTTTATTATAAAATAAAATTTTATATATAACCTGGCAATGAACAAAGTTTGTCTAGATGTCTAGGATACATAACCATCTGACTTGTCACTTAAACAAGATAAGCAAGAGGAAGCCAAAGACTTACATCGTCTTTCCTCAACAATGACTCTGGCAATACCAACCTGCATATGGAAAAAAAATGAAGAGAGAA